TTTGGTGGTAGTCATCAGGATCAATAAGAGAAATCATGAAAGATGGTTTGGATCAGCGACGCCCATTCCGGAACTCTCCATACGAAGGATTTCCCACACGTAACAGAATACACGGTTGTTGGACGTCATGTTCGCCCGCTGCTTTGGTTCCTGCTTGTCTGTAAAATGAAACTTCATTGGCACAAGCGACCAGAGATAAGCCTGGTCCAGCTGATTGGGTCGCGATCATGCTTCTTGCCGACCTCGTCTTTTCATATTACGTACTGAAAAATCCCTTGGTGGATCGGGGCAACCCAAAAAGAAAAGCGTTGAAGGTCTGAAATTTGATTTTGGATCGAAAGTCTACCTTTCCTCGGTAAATGTTATCTAATGGTTATCCGACCCAGTCATACTGCAGATATTAATATCGACCGACTACAACATGGTTAACAAGAGATCTTGCTGCAGCAGGTAGTAGGTCAGCCTTTACTTTAACCCGATTCGAATTAAAATGAATATCCGGACCGTCCTGACTCAGCCGCACCCACCAATCATTGCCACCCGATAACGCCATTGCTCACCAATCACCGCCCGTGTATCCAGGCAGAATCGGCTTAGTGCGAAACCGGCAACGGGGATCGGCCCTGCAGCTCTTGCGGCTTTTCCCCACATCTTTTCTTAAGCCCCATGTGGGTTAGCCGCTTTGCTGCACGGGGAGGAAGGGGGGAAAGGGTGGATGAAGGTTGCCCTCGTCAGCAAATCTGTGTTCATCCATTGGTGGATGGTCATTGGGCACCTTTGCGGCGGCGAGAGTCCTGGCACGGAGAAATGGTAATAACTCCGTAGCAAATCCTGAGACCAAAGGTAAACTACGGAGTACCTAGCTACCTCCTCGACGCTATTAATAATTGCGAGCGTGAAGAGTCGATAGATCGGAACTTTCCTTTTTCTATTTCCCTATTTCCTATTTCCGTTTTCGTTTTCTTTTTTTTTTTTTTTCTATTATTTCCCTTTTTTCACCCTTTTAAAATAAGGTATTGTTGAACAATACAATAAGATTTATATACATAGTTAGGAGTTGTCGCATGATATAATCAATGATTCATCATGTCGGGTCACGAGTCAGACGCGTGACCATTGGTGACTCGGTACAATCTAAACGTGAGGAGGCACACCTTAATCGCTTCCCTTTAAAGCAACTAGCTACATATAGATATAGTACAGTATTCCCGAGTCCACTTCCTCAGACCGCACTGCCAAGATCAACTAGCCTTAATCCAGTATAGGCCCGGAATATCAATATCCCTGGATTAATACGTATACATTACGTTACGAATATTACCTAGCTCATGTCACGCAATGGTACATAGATCTATGAAGATGCAGACGTCCCACCCATCAATCACATCACGATACGCAACCTATCAGCTACAGCTTTCTCTTCCCCAACTCCTTTTTGAGATCTTTCATAATGAGGTACTAGGTTTCTCGATGGTATCTTCTGCCTTGGGGGATGGCATACACTCTTCGTGACGATTATGATCCATACTTACCATCATTCAACCTTCATACGACTTTCATTGTTGGGTTACATGGTAAAATTGTGATATGCTAAAGATGCCCTCCTGGTGGTTATTTGTCTGCATCTCGCCGGCCATGGGCTTGTGTGCGTACACTCGCCAGCTTCGGATCTTGCTCGGTGAAAGCGAACCTGAATAAGGAGTGAAGTGGGATACTTATCTTCTTGTGCCATATATGATGATATGGTTTCGTTAGCTCAGTTATCTACTTGGGCATCCTCTTGGAGGACCCAAGGGTTAAATTCCTTGGCTAGCAGCTTTTCTGTGAGCACCACAAAGCTCTCCGGGCGAAGCAAGGGGGAAATCTGTATCATGCGCCTTAACCGAAAGAAGATGATATCGAGTTCGGCTATGTAAGCGAGGTTGACACGCCCGCAATGGAGGAGTATCTATTGGACTTGGGGTAGCGGGAAGGGATTGTGGGCTGAGCCTAATGGCCCGTTTATGGAACAGTTAGGGGTCAAAACACATCTTCCTTACCCAATACTGCACTTCGGATTCCTTTTCCGCTTGTCTAGATGCGCCACGAACGGTATGAACTTATGAAGGTCATTGAGGATTACCGGCGGGGAATAGCCCTAGCTCATGGAAAGTGCTGTTGGCCGCTACATGAGAAGGAATTTCCTCGTCGCCTCTTACCTACCGCGGCTGCGTTGGGATCTTTTCCTCCCTGTTCGTTACTCAACTGATCATGCTGTGGTGGCAGATATTTGTCTCCTTCGGTGTCGCAGGGGCAGTTTCCGTGCTTTGGTTGGCTCTGCAGCGGCTATGGCTTTCGCCTATTGCTCACTTCCCGGGGCCCAAACTGGCCGCCTTTACAATGTGGTATGAATACTACTACGATTCATTCCTAGAAGGTCAATACACTTTTCAGATCGCCGAGATGCATCGCAAATATGGCCCAATAGTGCGAATCAGCCCGTACGAGCTACACATTGACGATGCTGGATATTATGATGCGCTGTACTCTCGAGATGCCCCGCGAGATAAGTCATTACATCTGACTGGAATGTTTGGAGCACCGGCTTCTGCATTTGGGACAGTCGACTATCGGCGCCATCGGATACGGCGGCAACCAATGAATCCGTTCTTCTCCCAACAGCGAATTCGAGAACTGGAACCAATGCTCCGGGGCATGGTTGACAAACTGTGCGATGGATTGCGCGCCTGGAAGGACAGACATGCTCCGCTACATATGTACCATCCGTTTAATGCTTTCACTACAGATGTGGTCGTTGAATACACTATGGGACACTCATTTCACTATCTTGATGACCCAGACTTCAGCCCACAATGGTCCAAAACAATGCAGGCCATTGTGCATGCGGGAATCCAATTCAAACAATTCCGCTGGTTCATTAGTCTCTTTGAGCTACTCCCACGATGGCTCGTCATGAGCATCAATCCTGACATCGGGCCGGTCATCGACCAGAAAAATGAAAGCATGCGCCTGGCTAACTTGGTCATTGATAGTCAGCGCTCGGACAGCATGTTCACAGGCGACAGAGCTGGTGTGCCCAAAGACACTTTATTTCATGCTCTTGTGGAAAGCACGCTCCCGCCTGAAGAAAAGACAGCTGATCGCTTAAGCCAAGAGGTTTTCACTGTCATAGCGGCTGGTGGAGAAACGACTGCCAGAAATTTAGCCACAATTACCTTCCATCTCCTAAATAATCCCGAAAAGCTTGAGAAACTACGCAAGGAGCTGAACCGGCTCGACCGCGATGGGACGGCGTCCTTAGTGGAATATGAGGCAATGCCCTACCTGGTAGGATTTCGTGTCTAGGCCGCACTCTCTAACAGGATTCTGTTGCTAAATATACTAGACTTCTGTTATGTTGGAGGGACTTAGGTATGGAAAATTATCTACTAAAGTCGCTTCATCTGGATGCTCATCCTGATATGCAGAATCACCAACGCTGTTGCAACACGGCTTCAACGCAGCTCACCAGGTCAGCCTATGAGATACAAAGATTGGATTATTCCTCCTGGAGTAAGCATCTTTCGTTCTCGTATGGCTTATCGTATAGAGACTACTCCCGCTTACCATAGATCTTAGGTGCCGGTCGGGATGACGAGCTTATTCGTACATCATAACGAAGACATCTTCCCCGATTCGCAAAGTTTTATCCCGGAACGATGGATAGATCCAATGCAAAGGAAGCGCCTCGAAAAGTACCTGGTCGCCTTTAGCAAAGGCTCGAGGCAGTGCATCGGCATCCCGTATGCGATATTCCCTTAGACACCCCTCTAATTTAGCACACTGACATCCGTCCAATAGTCTCGCGAAGGCTGAAATTCTTTTGGTGGTCGCCAGAGTTTTCAGAGAATTCGATATGGAGTTGTACAAAACCACAATTGATGACGTCCGTATTGTGCGTGATATGTTCAATGGCCATCCGAGAAAAGGGAGCCAAGGCGTGCGCGTCATGGTCAAGGAGTGGAATGGACGCCCGGGGTCGAGTGAGTAATTATTTCTAAGAAGTGCCTGATGCTGTGCGAATCAGGGTTAGATGGAGAATATCTCGCCGATCTATAGCATGAAGGATGGATTAGTTGGGGGGCGATGTGTGGTCATACTCATGAGAGAAACTCATTGAGTAGAATTCAACGTGAATTCAGTGACATTATAAGCTCGTGCTTTTCTGCATTCTCATTCCGTCATCATGTATATATTGATGGTTGATAGTTCTTCCCGTATCAATGGACGACGATGTATGTATGTATGTATATACTATATAGGTGTATTTACGATACGAGTGAATACACAGTCCGCTGTAGCCCAGATACAACACGGTACAATCTCCGTCGGCAAGGATATTTCGGAAAATCCTTCCAAAGGGGACTAGCGTTGATATGAACAATTAGGGTTTCGGGAAACCATCACAGAGTATGCCGTAGGCGGTAACACCAGGTTCGAGCCGTACTGTAGGTATTGCATGTCATTTGCAGGAGCCAAGATTTCATTACTTAATATTTATGGATGATAATGAGGACTCGGAATCGCATGCGTACACCTTTACCGCAAACTTTCAGATGCCTTCTGGTCGAACCAATGAGTTATCGGCGGGAGTTTATCATTATCAAATCTCTTCGCTCCCGAGGCTAGCCAGCTTGTTATCTAGCTCTGGACAACTGGTTGTGACTCTTGAGGAATGCATGCGATGTCACCTCACTATCTCCCAACGCGACGCAACCCCCGGCTCTTATCAGGCCGTCAGCATTGTTTTCCTTATTCCCGACCCAACAATCTTATAGATGTCTATTATATCATCTTTCTCATGTGGTAATCATGCAGTTTTACATCACATGCTTTCCGGGTCAACTGCGACTCCAAAACTCCATGCTACAGACCAACAAAAAGCCAGCCAGAAATAAAAATGAGGTAAGAAAAAGATGCGAAAGAGGAAGTATGGTCCAATAAGAAACGGCGATAACAGATTACTCCGTGAAGTTCCGCAGCTTGGTCAGCTCATCCAAGAGCTCTTGCAGATCACCATCGGAGATTTTGTGTTGAAGACTGGGGATGAGGGACTTGGCTTCCTCGGCATTATCGCAGCACAAACTCCCTGTCTCCTGGTTAGACTAATGGGGCACATGCAGACTAACGGCAAAAAGCGGCTCGGCTGAAAGGACCTCAAAAAGGGAAGGCTAGAAGGCCAAAAGGCCTAGCAGGGGCAAGAAAAAGCGAAAGACAAAGTGACTAACCCAGTTGTGACCGCTCGAACATCTCCAACTCTGTATGCGAATTGAGCAGGCGTTCGACAGCCTTGATATTCTCCTCATCCTTGAACCGAGCAAACACTTCGAGATAGTCCAGGGTCTTAGTAAGGTTCCTAAGTTGTAAGAAGCATGTGAGTATGATGGCATTCTTCGGTATCGTGAAAGACACCGGTCGACTTCCAGCACTCACTCCGGCTCCTCGTATTTCTTCCCGCCCCTGCGCTTGTTCTCCAGCACTTTGTTGATGACAAGTCGTGCTTCGGAAAGCGACAAGGTATGGGTATTCTGATCCGCGCCTAGTTTGAGAGTTGAAGCGGCTTCGAGCTCGCCTTGAGGCAAGGCGCGCTTGCGATGTGTTGGGGGTGGCAATTGGACGCTCATTTTGGTGCTGTATCTGAGATCGCGCGATGTACTGATATAATGGACCCTTCGTTTCGATGAACCGTCGAGTTTAACGTTCGAAGTGTCCAGACGCTGGAGGCTGTTGACGCAGGTTGTTGACTCTGGTGCGGGACCGGGAGAACTCTTGAGGGCGGAGTTTTGTATGGGCAGTAAAAGGCGGTATCTGAGTCACCGCCTTTGTATAGTGATGAGACCTACATCCACATGGGCGAAGGAGAGTCCACATTGTATTCGTAGTAATAATGTAAAAACATTGAGCGGAAAGGGTATCAACATCAGATTGACTATTTTCTGGTCTATGCATAATCTATTCACGGCCCGAACGCCTCCTGCAATGCGATGACTTTATATGCAACATTCTGCATTATACCTGTCGGAAAGCAACCTCTTTAGGTAGACGGAAACTAGCGCAAAACATTTGCTTGTTGGGGCTAACCAATCTGACATTGTGAATGGCCAGCTCTAGCTCTGCGTTTCCACTCCCCCCGACCCGATCCTCCGGCGTGATGGTGTAGCCAATTCGTTCCGAGATGCGCTGGCAAATATCCTTGTGGTCGTCCACCTCGTTTTCCGAATGACCGGAGAAACAATACACATGGACCATCGGAAGAGGTGTTGATGTGTGTGGCGCAAATAGCGACTCCTTGCCAGCATAGACACCAGGGAAGGCATCAAGGAACTCAATAGCGTTAGCCGGAAGGTTCATCACATAGTGACCGAAGACCGTGGGTCGGTTATAGACCTCTGCAGGGGGAGCCGGAGTCTCTTCTTTTTGGGCGCTTCTTCTCTGTTTCTTTTGGATAGCTACAGTTACTGGTTCTGTTTGCAGGAGCTCATTGGCAGACCAGCGGATGAACGTTCTTCCGTCCTTGTTAAACGGAGTCACGAATTTGTCCACCTTGTTCCTGCGAATAGCATCCTGCATGACCTCATATCCATGCGGGTTAAGGTCATTGGCCCAAACGAAAATCTTCTTTTTGCCAGCTGGGACAGCGAACGGGCCAACACCGGCCATCACATCGCATACCATTTCACCCGAACGGAATTTGTTCACGAGTCGACGGTGCTCGGTCTCCAAGCGGCTGTTCCAGTACACACGAGAGTAGTCAAAACGGAATTCGCAGTCCTGCTCATGTTGGATGACGTTCATGTCCTCGTCGCCGGCCAAGAACTCAAAGGGGAATGTGCGGAATTCGCTGTGGGCGCCCACATCTTCGGTCTTTCTGATCACTGTCCGGATTGTTGGGTTCTTGTCTTTCAACACCTGCGCAATAAGGCTCTTATAGGGGGTATATTGTTCGCGGAGATTCAGATGGGCTAATTCTTGTCAGACTAGGGAAAACAAATGCAGACTTGAGACAGCAGACTTACAGACATGGCCCACCTGGGTAAACCCTTGAGGAAGCTCATCAAGCATGTCCTCTGGCAAAATTGCGTTCATGATATCGGCTAGAATATAATCTATTAGCTCCAGTCTCTTTCAACAGACATTTTTAAAGTAATAGTTACCGTAAGTCCAGTAATCATAGTCCAATTCGAGATCATACCGACCAATTCCAACAGCACCATTCTCCACAAGCTCATTGATCGTCGGCGACCATGTTGTAGCATCTACCACGCATTAGCACCCTGACATAAGCACCCCCAGAGGCACAGCTAGCAACACTAACCATCATATTTGATACCCTCCCTCAGCAGCAAGCATTTCTTCACCTCATCATCAACCTTCACCTCTCGGATTGAACTCGTTCTCGGAAGGCCCAGCAAATCTCGACTCTTGTGCAGCTGGCCTCGCACCCTCGAGATATCGGAGGACTTGAAAACTGTTGCGGCAGATAGCGGTACCGTCTTCTTGAAGAATGAGCGATCCAGGACCCGCATTGCGCGGTTCACCGGGGGTCGGAACATAGTGGGGAGGTCGCTGTTAGGCGTCTTGGAGGCGTCAGGGGCTGTCGTGGATTCCATGGACGATAATTATCTGATGGTCGGAGGCTAAGGATTTATTGAAAGGCTCTTTAGGTGATCGGCCGGCAGGGCATCGTTTGCTCGGGCTTTGGACTTTATTTCAAAGAAATGTGTTTTTTTGGTGCGCTAATTTTGGGCTGTGATTTTGGGTGTTTGCGATTTATCAACACGTGACATTGGTAGATCTTGATAAGATCTACAATTTAGTTTAGCGCTAGACAATTCTATAGAAATGAAAAGACAACATTTAAGATAAGGACTCTATATAGCCGTTTCCATATGTTCTAGAATACGTAACCGAGCGTATATGTCCGCCTTGATTTTTTTTTCTTAAAAAAAAAAAAAATATTTGCTAGCAATAATCGCTCTAAGCTAAACAGGAGAGACACATACGAACCCGAAAATAGACAATAAATAAGAAGTGCCGAAGAACAAGCTGGGGTATCTTACCATTCCTTCCACAATTCCACAAAAGCACTACTACCTCCGTAAACCACTATCCACACTCTTACTCAATTCCTTTTGCGACTCTAGCACCGTAATCCTTTCCTTAAGCTTCATAATCTCCTCATCTTTCTTCTTGATTGCACTTCGCGAGATATCCCGTCCTCGTATTATGCCTCTGGTTTTCAGGTCATGTCTGTTTACTAGCTCTGTGAGCTCCTCCTGAGCTTTCCTCGACACGACCACATTATGGCTCTCTAGAATCCTCATGACCTGAAGTGATAATTCCGATGTATCTGCTGCAGAATCAGCAGAGAGCGGATTCTTATATTTGCTCGGCGTAGGAGTCATCGAGATATCAGCTGAGGCCGGAGGAAGCCGACACGCAGTCGACCGAGGGGGAAACACTGTTGTAGGCGTGAGGGACGGCGCACTCTCCATATCAGACAGCTTCCGTTTACTGGGTGAGGTTAAAGAATCTGTCCGGGGAGTCTTCCGGGGAGTGAAATCCGAGCCACCCGCAGCTTGTCCAAAGTCCGGCTGGCGAGGCTTATGCTGCGCTGTAGTGGCTTCGTCTGGAATGGTATCGGCCCATTCGAACTCATCGGAGTCCTCAGTCATCATGCGCGCCTTGGCGCTTTTCGAGGGGGTCTGAAAGCTCCTCGACCCGGACTCAGGCGCATTTCGAAATGGGCGATCAGTCTGTGGGGTGAGAAGGCCCGTTCCTCCATGTCGCAAAGTTTTGGTGGGGGTTTGGGGCATGTTCTGTGGCTCTGTCCTTGAGTTGGATATAACGGCGAGTTTCTCCCGGGCTTCGGCGTCACTTGCCCAGAGGAAGAAGTTGCAGCGCTGTTGTTGGGGTCGTTGACAAGTGTAGACTAGTGTGTGTTAGTACTGCAATTTGAGTCCAATGCTATTTAGAGCAGAGGGGCAACAGGCTAGGAGCATTACACCATCTTCCGTGATTTATGCCATGGTTCTTGGTCTGTAGTTTGACCGCTGGGGGGCGACTTGGGCAGTTGCAGCGCCACACGCCATCGAGGAACCAACCCCGCAAGGGGACGGAAGTGCGAGGGGATGCAGCTCCGTTGTTAGTCTTCTGGGGGGATATCATAATTTGGAGAAGGAATGACGGTCTCGCGTATCATAGAGTTGAAGGCAGAGATAAGGAGAGAACTCATAATGATAGGATGCTTAATTGTCGACAGATGTCGCTATGGAAACCGACTTCGGGATGTGGATCGGAGGAGTTTAGTGCCCGCTGTCAACCACGGCTTCCCAACCCTTAAGTGCAGTAGTTTGTTCTATACCTTGTTCCAACAGGTGCCATTCATAGATCATATATGGGCTTGTCAATCGCATAAAAAAAAAAAAAAAAAACAGATCTGAAACATTAAAAGGTCTTCTCTATTATGCTATGAGGGAATGCAGAACTAAAACAACAATACAACCAAGTGCCACACAGCCAAGAAATGCTCTCTTTGGTCTACAACAGCTGGGATATCAACAAAACCCATGATGACAAAGCCGTCGAAAAGAATATCTAGGGTATCACGACAAAGTAGTAGCCACAGCCTATTCTGCAAGGACCATCCGTAACATTACTCCAAACGGTTCAGCTAATTTGAGAATCTCTTGGACTTCAGGCTTAACAGGCTCGCCAGCCGTGCGACGGAGTTGATCCTGTTGCTTAACTCGGCGTCGTCGTTCAGCAGAGATGGGGTCAAGATCATCTTCCTCGTCGAGCTCGTCGGTGGGATCAGACTCCGCGTCCGAGATGGCAAGGTCTTCGAGGTCGCCCTAGAGGAGGGTTAGAATCTTATGTCACCATTCGTTTACTACTTCAATTTTGACATACCTCGTCTAAGCCAAAATCGCTTCCCTTAAATGTCGGGAATGGGTCATTCCCGGTTCCTTCTGCCGCCATCTTCTGCCTGGTCTTATTCAGGTGCCACCGCTTGCGGTCTTCGTGCCATTTGATAAGTGCATTGATCTCATCGAGAGCCTTATCTTTATCGATTTGCCCAACATCCTTAGCCCCGTGAAGCAAGGCGTTCATGTCAAGCTTGCCACCAACAGGCCCGTGACGTAGGAAATCAAGAATATCCTCAATCCATCCCATCAGAGAGCCGAAGAGCCCATTGTCATGAAGGTGCACTTCGTGAACGAACTTATAGAAGCTCGCTTGATGACGTTCGCAAAGATCGATGAAGGACTGGACGGTTTGGTTTGGATCGGCAGATACATCTTGTCGCTGACATTTTTCGACGACCTGAATGGCGTCGTCGGCAAATTGAGCGAAGTCAGTGATGCTATTATAAACATTTGCCGACTTGTAAACGCGCACTAGCGGCTCGTAGAATATTGTGAATAGGTCACGGAAGAGTTGGAGGGTAACGGGTTCTTCAACGATGCTGAGCATCATGGCCTTGTCACGCTGACGCGTGTAGAGTTTAAGTAGCTGCTTCATGTTCGCAAACCATTGTGCACCTTCACGCATTTCTGCATCGACACTCTCCACTGCTTGGTTCCAGGCCACATATGCATTGAACACATTACCATATTGCTCCGGAGTGAGTTCGGGAGAGAAACGGTCAGACCGAAGAATTGCCACGAGAATATCTATATCTTCATCCTCAGCCTCGGCACGGATTTCATTCTTAATTGCTTCATCTGAATCTGTGAACGCTTTCAATTTCTGACAGAGGGATGCATCATCAACCTTGGAAACAAGGGAGTCAATGGCCTTTTGGAATTGTTTGATGCCATCGTTTAGAGTCATGGAAAAGATCCGCTGCAGAAGAGACCGTGAGCCAAATGGTTGAGCAAGGAAAAGATCCAAAACCCCAGACATGACGGCTGCAGGATTGGCAATGCGGATAACATTCTTCATCAGTGTGTATGGGACAAGAGAGTGTATCCTCTTGAACTGTGCGAATAGTTCAGGGGAGTTGTCCTCAGCCAAGAACAAATGATACAGCGTTGCGGCAACCCTAGACTTTGTAAGCAACCATAGAGGTAACGAGCACGGTGATGAAAGAATACGTACTCGATCCGAAGCCATTCTGCAAACTTCTGATATTGAGGACTGAGATCCTCTACCGTCGGCTTCTCCCGAATTTCCGCAAATAACTTTGTCAGGCCATCTACAAAGGGATCATCACCATCAGCTTGAGGGATTGAGAAGTAAAGAATTTGCACTTACTGCTCTCCACAATATCTCGACGGAAGTTTTCCATGTACACATCTAGCTCAGCTGCGCGCTGTCTGGCAATCTCATAAAACCTCTTCTGTTCTTCTATCCTGATAGCGTCTGCCTCCTTCCTTCGTTGCATGTCAATTAGTTCTTCTTCGTTCAGAATAACAGGATCTGCAGTTAGAAACTCCTCTAAAGCCTTTGACTCTGCCGCCCGCTTATTCTGCAGTAGAGTGCGAACGAACGCTCGAAGCGAAACCCGCTGTTCTTCTCTATAGAGCACGGTCTCTCGAGAGGTCTCTGCTGAAATTCTCGGTGATTTGGGAGATACTCCCAAAGATGAGCGCATGGACGACCGCGATGCAGAGCGATGCAGATGGTTTCCCGGAGTTAAGCTGTTTCGAGATGGTTGTCCTTCATCCGGCGTACTTCCACTCTGGCTCGATAAAGAGGAGACCGAGGAGGCGTCATCGTCGGCTGAGGAGAAGAAGCTCGACGACGTTGAGGACTTGTTCTTGCGCGGAAGAACTGGTAGTGGTTTTCCGGGAAACTCGGTGCGCAGTCTCTTGTGAAGCTTCGCGAAGTCGCCGTACCGTCGGGCCACATAGACGTCGGACTTTCCTTCCCGACGAACACGAAGAATGAATTCCTAACGCTAGCATTAGCCATATGTCTCAGGTTGAATTCAGAGATGACGATCCCCTCACCGCATGCTGATGATACCGCACAGTCCGCCTGACAGAGGTTATTCTCACGGCAGCCACATTGACATCCCAGCCGTGTATGGCATTCCCTTCCGGCATATTAACCAATAGACCCTTGTCATTGGCACCACGATCTACAACCTCGATTTCCGAAAACTGGATTCGTTCTTCATATCCTGATGCCGTTGGGATACCTGATACCATCATAAGCTCCACGAGCTTCTCACACTTTCTTGCCAATTTTCTGCGCTTTGTCTCCTCTAAGCGATCTTCGGACGACGAAACATGCTTCTTCGCGAAGGACTCTAGGAACTATGCGTGTCGTCAGTCTCCTTCATTTTTGCCCCCCGGCAAATGGATCCGCACTCACCACTTGCAATTTATCTTGCCAAAACTCCTTCTCGCGGGCCTGATCGAGAAAAGGGAAATTGCGCACATGATGAACGAAGATATATCGAAGAATGGGGAGTTCTGAGTCAACTGGGGCGACTTCTCCGTACTCTGACCTGAACGGGGCGCCGAAACGTTGGAGGGCCGTGGGGGAGTTTAACTCGACGATTTCGCTTTGCACTTGGCGGGCGATGAGCTCGCGCTTAAGGTCTGTACCAGTGATTTTAATTGATTAGCTAGTTGGCAAAACTTGGACATATATGAAGAAGGAGATTAACGGACAATGTTCTTGTTTTCCTGTGAGGATTTGCCCAGGTAGGGCGTTATTTTGCGACTCTGACTGTTGTCCGACCGAGCTGACTTCGGCGGGACTCTGTAGAGGATTCTCCGCATGCATGACGAACGACTTTGTTGAATGTGATCGTTCGAAGACTGTTAGGCCCCAGATCAATAGTTCATCAGCCTTATAGGGCTTTCTATTTAAGAGAATGGGACCCAAGGGTAAAAAAGCAACGGTGGTTCCTGGCCGAGAACAAAATCCGTCTGCCTAACAGGGTGTGAGTCTGAGGCAGGACAATGACGTTTTTCGGGCCAATGCCGAGATTGTCGACCAATCTTGGACGTTCTTGGTATTTCTTTGAAGATCCCCTTCTCTCGCACGGATCCGTCTAGGGTAGTATATACAATGCGGTGGATGGCAGGTAAAGAAAAGAAGAATAAAAATTGTGGGTAAGATGGATGTTAACGTGGGAAGGACAAGAAGGGGGGGCGAAAGAAGGAGAGATAAAGTTGTAGTGTACTGTAGTTAAGTTATTTTAGCTTTGCGCGGAGGCACCACCGCTATGGACCTTCTCGGATTCTCCTCCTCTTCTTCCCTTCCGCCAGTTGCCCATTTTCCACCTCCCCTATTCCTCTCTTTCACCCAATAATAACAATGCTCCTGACGCGTCCGTCCACTTGAATGGCTCAGCCCTGTGGCCCCGCCTTAAGAGCGGATCTGCAAACAATCGACATGCTACTATTCTTGATGTGAGTAATACTAGTGGGCGATAACTCGGTCCATCCTAATACTTTCCCTAGTCCAGATGGAGAATAGGCAGCCAAACTATTTCATTCGCTCAAGATACGAATTTTCTCCTTTCCTGTACCATGGTTGTCCAAATATAACGCGGGAAATTAGGCCGATCAATGGCGCCCAAAGGCAAAAAAAAGAAAAGAAAAAGAAAAAAAAAACAGAAAATTGAAGACTGCTGCAGAGTCCGTCTTCGATACTCCCTGATTTATCCTAACACAATATTCGCAGGAATCTCTCATTCATATACCTTTTTTTGTGTTTCGCGCTCTGTCTCTGTAGCATCACTCCGAATTTTTGACCGCGGAATTCGTCCAATGGAACTCGAGGAGTATCTGAAGTTGTTGAGCAATATCCACCTGTGTCCCCAAGGTTGATAATCATGGCAGCTTCATCATCGTTGACTCACTTCGAGCTAGATTTTCAAAGCGTTATGCATGTATGTGAAATGACCAGCGTTCATACTACAACACCATGATGGAATCCTCTACACGATTTTATAACAGCATTATGAAGAATAGCACTATGGTCAAACCCATCCCATATGTCTACAGCCCATGGTTGAGTAAAGTCTTCGGTTATGCTGAATCTTCCAATTTCTCTTATCCGCTTTATGGAGGGTTTCTCGCTCCGACCACGTACTTATACATTTCACAATATTCATATCCATACATTATGAGAATTTCAAGAGATCGCCTCGCTTAACTTTCTATACCGATCAAACAAGAGGGGTTTTCTTCGGAAGGTCAGGACGCCGGGTCGAAAAGGAAGAGAAATGAGCGAGAGATGAGCCCGCCATGGAACAACCGAAGCTCAACACTCCTACCGTCAATGAGGATTCCAGAACCCTATCGCAGTGTGGTTGCAGTTATCTGGCAATAGAAGCACGAGACCTCGTCTACAAAGCACCGGATTTCTCCTTGATGGAGACCAAGGAGGCTCGGTCTGAACTATCTGACGCAGCTCATAGACTTACTAGAGGACATAAAGCCTTTGCGAGACATGCTTGAATGTAAACGCCTCTCTCTCTCTCTCTCTCTCTCTCTTTCTTTCTCTGGCTTTGGCACGATCTTAAGCTATAAGCTCTTAGGGGACTTAGAGGATAATGAGAACGAAAGCAAAGCCTGTATTGCTTTAAACTTTACACAATGTAAACGGGACTGTTATGGCTTAGTTGGAGTTCCTGATTGAGACGCTTGTACCTTGGTGTTCTTTTTTCTTCTTCCTTAAGAGTTCTTGGAGAAAAAAAAAAAAAAAAAGAGGATACGTAGCTTTGCTCCAGAGAATTGGTTACCTTTATAAAGTGGATATCGATGATGATCCACTGCTAGCAATACGTAAGTAATTAACTGGAAATGGGCCTCAATAACTCAATCAAACGGGGTTGCCAAGACTCCTGCCATTCAACGCCGCGGCTCTTGGTCCTTCTCCAACAGACAACTTTTTGGGCCCAGGCTGACCTTGCATCTGGGGCCAAATTGAAATGGACGCTAAGAGAGAGTGAATCATACTTATTCAGTTACGAGAGGGCATGGATACGTCTCTTGTCGTGAACTTGAGCACCGCTTTACTCCGACCTCGATAACCATCTGGCCTTATCTGTCTGCCCGCCGACGCTCCTTGCTATCTTATCACGTACCTTTTCGCTGCATGCGACTCTTCGAATTGTTCCCCCACACAAGCCAATGATTATGGGGAGATCCGACGACCTCGAAGATGCGGAGTTCTTCCCCATGACCCGCCGAAGATCCACGTCCGGCGCATCGTCCCGATCTTCCACCGATTCAGGGTTGTCCGTCGATACAGCCTACCTTGAGGAACACAAACCCAACAATTTCGCGAATGACACATCGGGAGTGACGGATGAGGCAAAATATCGCGACGTGGAGGATGGAGAACCAGATGTCGACGAGCCATTCCTTCCTACATCATCCAGGAAGGCTGGCTCCGGAAGCCGCACGCGTCAGATATTCTGGGCATTGGTGATACTCTGTCTGGGAGGTTGGGTACTGGCGTTAGTGCTTTTCTTGACTCAGGGCAGGACAGGCTCCCAAACGGCCTCGGAGACCCTGCAGCAACAGGAATCAGATTCGGGGAGCACAAGCGCCGGAAGGCCTGTGACACTCCAACAAGTCCTGACAGGGTCGTGGAATCCTCGGTCTCACGCTATCTCATGGATTGCTGGCCCAGATGGGGAAGATGGACTATTAGTGCAGAGGGCAGAGGTTGATAAAAAGGGCTATTTGCGGGTTGACGATATTCGCAGTCAGGAAGACGATGATGTTGACAGTCAGCGCAGTAGAATCTTAATCGACAGGGCTATTGTACGAGTCAACGGGGAGACCCTGATGCCGGCATTCACATGGCCTAGTCCCGACCTTAATAAGGTTTTGCTCATGTCGAACCATGAGAAAAACTGGAGATACTCATTCACTGGAAGATATTGGATTTTCGACGTGGCAACCCAGTCGGCTCAGCCACTGGATCCTAGCGTTCCAGACGGAAGAGTGCAACTTGCGCTTTGGTCTCCGAGTTCAGATGCTGTGGTTTTCGTGAGAGACAATAACATGTACTTGCGAAAATTGTCTTCGGAAAGTGTCGTTTCCATTACTAAGGACGGTGGCGAGGACCTTTTCTATGGAGTCCCCGATTGGGTATACGAAGAAGAGGTCATTACGGACAAGAGTGTAACGTGGTGGTCGAACGATGGGAAATATGTTGCCTTCCTTCGAACTAACGAGTCCGCTGTTCCTGAATTCCCGGTCCAGTACTTCGTGTCAAGGCCATCGGGGAAACGGCCCCCTCCAGGACTCGAGAACTACCCAGAGGTCAGGCAGATCAAGTACCCTAAAGCTGGGTCTCCGAACCCTGTAGTCAATTTGCTGTTTTATGATGTCGAGAAAGACGAGGTATTCCCGGTCAATGTCCCCGACGACTTCCCTGATGATGATCGTATCATCATAGAGGTGTTATGGGCTTCTGAAGGAAAGGTCATTGTCCGAGCCACAAACCGAGAAAGTGACGTGGTGAAGATCTTTCTGATTGACACGAAATCAAGAACAGGAAAGCTGGTTAGATTCGAAGACATCGCCAATCTTGACGGTGGTTGGGTTGAGCCTTCCCATGATACCAAGTTCATCCCGGCGGACCCCAGTAACGGACGACCAGATGATGGCTACATCGACACAGTCATCCATGATGGGTACGACCATTTAGCTTACTTCACGCCTCTTGACAATCCGGATCCTATAATGCTCACTACAGGAGAGTGGGAAGTTGTGGAAGCACCATCAGCCGTGGACTTGCGCAGAGGACTCGTTTACTTTGTTGCTACGAAGGAGTCTCCGACGCAGCGACACGTATACCGGGTCCAGCTTGACGGATCAAATCTTCAGCCCTTGACTGACACCTCCAAACCTGGCTTTTATGATGTATCCTTCTCCGACGGCGCTGGATATGCGCTGCTTAGCTACAATGGGCCGTCAGTCCCGTGGCAAGCCATCATCAACACCGAGGATGACGAGATCACATTTGAGAAAACTATTGAGAAAAACCCCAGACTGGCTTCAATGGTGGAAACATTTGCTCTTCCCACCGAAATATATCAAAACGTAACCATTGATGGTTTCACTCTTCAGCTCGTTGAGCGTCGCCCTCCACACTTCAATCCTTCGAAGAAGTATCCCGTCGTCTTCCAACTGTATAACGGCCCGACCTCGCAGAGAGTGGACCGTAAGTTCACGGTCGACTTCCAATCTTATATTGCCTCAAACCTAGGATACATTGTTGTCACCCTCGACGCCAGGGGCACAGGATACAGCGGACGGAAAATGAGGTGTGCAGTGCGAGGAAATCTAGGGCATTACGAAGCGCACGATCAGATTGCCACCGCGAAAATGTGGGCTAAGAAACCCTACGTTGACGAGACGCGGATGGCAATCTGGGGCTGGAGTTACGGTGGATTCATGACTCTAAAGGTCCTCGAACAAGACGCTGGGGAAACATTCCAGTATGGCATGGCCGTCGCCCCCGTCACGGACTGGCGGTTCTACGGTGAGTCTCCTTCACTCGAATATGAATAGCAGGACTGATTAACTCACACTGGTGTCCCCAGACTCGGTCTACACGGAACGATATATGCATACGCCAGAACACAACCCTTCCGGCTATGAGAACTCGACCATCACCAACGTGTCTGCACTCTCCGAAGCCACGCGCTTCTTGCTTATACACGGCGCCTCGGACGACAATGTACATATCCAGAACACCTTAACTTTCGTCGACAAGCTGGACTTGTCCAATGTACAAAACTACGACATGCACTTCTACCCCGACTCCGATCATAATATCTACTTCCATAACGCGCACTTCATGATATACGAGCGTATGTCTTTGTCCCGACTTATCATACCTACAGAGAATAAATTAACAAGAATCGCAGGTCTATCTAACTGGCTCGTCAACGCATTCAACGGCGAATGGCACCAGATCGCAAACCCCGTTCCTGAGGATTCGATCTGGGACAGTGTTAAGCGTTCTGTACCAGTTCTGGCGCATTAATTCATCTTAAGATTCAAAAATGTTATAGATATACCTGATGATATTAAACCCTACAAGTTAAGCAATAGACACTAGTCTCCTAAGAGCTATATATCCGTTCAAATTTACGTTCCAAATGCATAGAGCACGAAGTGACTTGAGAGATGGTATATTTCAACAAAAGCTCACGCTAGCAAATGCAATCGTCTATCAGGTATTAATAAAAATGCAATTTAAATCCATGAAGCCACGTAATGCTACCAAAGCAGACCAAGACGGAAAACAATGAGTGTAGTAATGATGAAGTTAGATGCAAAGTGAAGGAAAGTATATGCAAGATGCAAGTATTTACAACGAGCACTTCATCATCTCGGGGTATATGGTTGGTATAGACAATGACAGATTAGCAATTATTGCCGGGCCAGGGCATAACCCAAAAATCAGTCATATGATATGCAAAAAAAAAAAAAAAAAGTAAAATAAATAAATAAATAAATAATCAAAACAAAACACTTCGGAGATGTAAAACCGAGGGAGGTAGATGGGATTCTTCGTTTTCTTTTTCTTTTTTTCATTTTAGATCATGTTGGGGGTGCTGTTGCTGCCTTGGATGTTCTTGTAGATGCTTGATTGAAGAAATTCGTCTCTCATGATAGTACTGACGTCGGAATTGCGGTAGGGGTTCAATTCTTCGCGTCCGAGACCACGTAGCTGTTCGCGGCCAGCAGTTGACATGGATCGTCGACCACTGTTCCTGGGGTTTGGCAACGGTGAGAGTCGTCCCGAAGGTGAGAGGCGACCATCAGGGGTACCGGGGTAGCCCAGGGTCTGACGAGGAGCGAAGACAGGGAGAGAGGCGTTGCTGGGGAGAGGAAGGAAGGACTCTGTATCCGTTGAGACACCGCTTATACCTGAGCGAATAGAGGACGGGCGGTGATAGCCATTGAGCATTGGGAAATTGGAAACCTCACTGTACACCGTCGACATGCCCGATGCAGCAGACGAACGCCACGAGTGCACAGCGCTACGAGGAATGGTGATTACTTCTTCTTCGATCGGGAGAGTCTGGCGCATGGCTGTTGCAATGTCTGTGGGCTCGGTGATGGCTCCTCCAACTCGGTTGGCCATGATCTTGGCAGACTTGCCAATCCACAGCATCTGCTCGTGCTCACGGAGGTACCGGTCGCCACTGAATGATTTCTGGACGATATCGCGGGTCATCATGCCGAGTTTGCGGCGGTATTCACTCTTCTCGTACATGCGGCGGGTGATCTTGGCAACGTCCTCTGGTGTTGGAGATGAAGTGAGTACGGGTGCCGGTTCAGTGTCATCAGTATACTTGCTCCATTCTCCGAGAAGGCCGAGCATGGTGATCTGCGCTTTTGCAAGGGCGTGGGCGTCATTGGGTGCGACCACGGCACTGTAACGAGAGAAGTCGTCTGGGTCGCTCAGAACACGAAGGGATGCACCTACATCGGTACAAACCACGGGGGCACCGGTCAGAGCAGCTTCACCTAGGGCCAAGGGCAGACCTTCGGACAGTGACGAGTTGAGGAAAAGCCAGGTGTTTTCGAGCACTTTCATCGGATCTGCGGTACCACGGAGA